TTGAAGTTGTTGGACGCCTTTTTGTTAAATATCTTCATGTCTGTTGATATTCTGCTTTGCAAGGCTCATCTAGAATGAGAGGCCTTTGTTTTCCAGAACTTTCTTTTTGTCTCCCCTTTTCCTATTTGGCAGTTTGGTAGTTGTACTTCTGACTCATCAGAATCATCAAAATGATGACTTCTTTAAGTTTAGACGTAAGCATCTAACATGCCCTGTCATGATGTTTGGGGTGTGGCAGGAGTCTTGGCTCAGTTACTGGTCTTGAGGCTCTATCTTTCCCTTCTGTAGATTCTGCTTGTTGCTCTGCTGGGGTATTTTGAAGCGAGGGAACTGTATTAATGTATTTTACCATCTTGAAAGAAAGATTCTATCTTTAATATAGTATATAGAGTTTTGTAGTTTTCTTAGCAATCTAGTTTTCTTTTGTCATTAAATGTTCTGTATGTGGACTTTATTATTTAAGAAATGAGTTATTTGTCTTACTTTGTATACATAAGGAAATGGAAACCCAAAAACCAAACCCATTGACGCTGAGTTGATTCAGACTCATAGTGACCCTGTAGGACAGAGTAGAACTGCCCCATAGGGTTTCCAAGGAGTGCCTGGTGGATTTGAACAGCCGACCTTTTGGATAGCAGCCGAGCTCTTAACCAGTATGCCACCAGGGTTTTTCAGTATCTGATGAATGTAGCGTAGGCCTGCTCTTTAGACGAGCTATTCTATTCCTCAGTACAATTTCGTGGCCCCACCTTCTTCTGTGTATTTATTCCTCTATGAGGAAATCGTCATCTTTGTTTAGTGTTTGCCAGATGACAGATTGCGTGGATTTTCCTCATTTCCCTGCAGTTTCAGTGTTTTGAAGATAAACTTTCTAAGATCTTACTTAAGCTGAAGCTCGGGTTAATGTTGGTAGCTCAGGTTTAGCTGTCTTGCAAATGTATGTTTAGTATGACTTTGCTTTATGAGAAAGTTTTTAATTAATTTTGTGTTTATTGTTGTGTATACTGACAGAAGCTTTATGAAGCGCTAGTCTCACAGACCACTGTCCCCTCCTCCCTCCTCTGGGCCCCCCACTCCTCCTCTCCATTCCGGCCAACTGCCAACTGCCAACTTCACATCCCAGAATGCCCCACCCAGCCCCTGTGGCCCTGCCCTGTTCCGCGCTGGAGTTACAGTCTCCACATTTCTCAGGAAGGAGGTATGAATGAGGTGGCTGCCCTCAATTTTCTACCGACCCTGTGCTTTTTGTCTAGGTGTAGGCTAGGTGTGGATAGACACTTTTGTGTTCAGTGTGGCTTTTTTTTGTTTCAGATGTCAAATGTATTCAGACCACTAGTAGTTTCTTAATTTAGTTATAGTTAGTGAGAATTTTAGCTAAAAGATTGACGATTCATTTTTGTAGGTATTTTGACGGGCTTTCAGGAGAGGTCAAATGGAAGAGATTTTTTAGTGGAATAAGCAGATTTCTACTAATTTTAGATACTATTGCTACTTAGCAGAGATTGGTGTATTTTGATTCACTAAGTATTCAGGTTACTAGAACTGTATATTAGAAATAATCCATTTTGCAATATGAGATATTAAGAGTATGTGTTAGCGTTCACCTTATCTGAGATTCCAAAATTTGTAAGGATTATGTGT